ATTGGACGGCTATGTTCAGACACCAGAAGTGTTCTGGAGAAGTTTCGAATAAAACCGGAGTACCGGGAGGTTACCGGACCCCCCCGGGGGGGTGTCAATGGGCCTTCATGGGCCTTAGTGGAAATAGAGGGCAACAAGGGAGCTGTGGGGCGCGCCCCCCTAGGCCCAAACCGAATTGGTTTAGGGCTTTGGGGGGCCGACCCCCTCTTTCCTTCTCCCCTCCTCCTCTTTCCTTCCCTCCTAGTTGGACTAGGAAAGGGGAACCTACTCCTAGTAGGAGTAGGATTCCCCCCTTGGGGCACACCCTATAAGGTCGCCGGCCCCTCTCCTTGCTCCTTTATATACGGGGGAGGGGGGCACCCCTAAGACACACAAGTTGACAATTGTTTTAGCCGTGTGCGGTGCCCCCCTCTACAGTTATACACCTCGGTCATATCGTCGTAGTGCTTAGGCGAAGCCCTGCGCCGGTAACTTCATCATCACCGTCATCATGCCGTCGTGCTGACGAAACTCTCCCCCGACCTTAGCTGGATCTAGAGTTCGGGAGCGTCACCGAGCTGAACGTGTGTAGATCGCGAAGGTGCCGTACCTTCGGTGCTAGGATCGGTCGGATCGTGAAGACGCACGACTACATCAACCGTGTTGTCATAACGCTTCCGCTTTCGGTCTACGAGGGTACGTGGACACACTCTCCCCTCTCATTGCTATGCATCACCTAGATAGATCTTGCGTGATCGTAGGAATTTTTTTGAAATTACCGCGTTCCCCAACAGTTGTAACTAAGTTAGCATGAGTGTGACTCACGAGCATTTTTGGGAGAATAACTAAAACTAATATTATGTTTGTATGTATGCTTAGAGAAACTGAGAGCAAATAATTTCAGCGTAAATATTAGTTACGTTCCTCCTTCGACTTTGACCCTATTGTCCCGTGTCACCCCAATTGCCTGATCTCTTCTCCCCTCATGGCTTGATCTCAAAAAAGAAGTTGCCCCCCATCCCCAATCTCTCGCTTTTACCATGTAGATCATGGTTGTCTTCCTGGCAGCCTTCATCCCTTCCCCCAATTACAGTTGCCAGGAATCTAAATACAAAGGAATTGCCATGCTAGAGCGGAAAGAATTGACGTGCTATAGATAGTATGGCATGGCTAACTATCAACAGATAAGATTGCCATGCTACATCAGAAAGAATTCTCATGAGTTGCTATGTACTATAATAGTTGCCACCATTTAGATAACAATTTTGACATGATGTACACACAAAATAAAGCTACACCACCAATGTGACACTTTAGTTACGCTGCACAAAACACTTTTACAACAAAAATGGTGATTTGTGCATATTAAAATATCGCAATAGCAATGATATGTGTACATAACCCTATTTGCACAAAATAAACAACAATTTCATTTTCTAGATACTTAATAGTGATGTATGCATACTTAATAATTTGGATGATTATTACTAACACCCTTCAATCTTGAAGGGCCTATCTCATTTTTTTGTTTTTCTAGTTTGTCAGTACCAATTTCAATTACCTCCATCCCATGTTCAGATTCAACGGTGCATTAAATCGCTGCATGCAAGGTCAAATAGAAGGGGCAGAGTATGCAAGCTCACATTGCAACTAGTGGAGGCTGCACCATAACCAAAGTTGTGTTGTGTTTCCCACCAGGAAATGGGCCCCTTAAAGGTCACCCCGCCGCCTGCCCAACCACCCACCCTCAATCCTTATTCGGTCGTCAGCCAGTCACGGATATAAATGGTTGGCGCCTTCCCCTTCACTCCCCTCTCTTGCACCTCCCCTTCCACTTCTCTACTTTCTCAATGGCATATTGCGACCCAATGGCCGCCGTTGCCAAGACCCTCCCCCCCCACCCATCAAGCAACAACAGGAGGAGAAAGAACAACAACAGTGTGGTGGGATGATTTGGAGTTCATAATGGAGGATGCTCGGAAAATGGGCTCCAAGGACCGCCGGATTAGGGAACAAGTGCCTACCTCGCCCCAATGATGGCTCATTTGTGGCATAGGACGCAGCTGCCCTGGCCTATGTCTGATTATGTACTAGTGCACTTAAAGTGCTAGCACGCCATTCTTGTAGATATAACGTTTGTGTTAGAGACACATTCAAATTATATGTATGCCATATAGACCCTAGTGGTGTATGAGCAGTGGCGGAGCTACACATAAAAAACTGGGCGGGCCAAATTGAAGGAAAGTCCAACTATTTTAATCTGATGCCTCATTTGCTCTCATATTCTAGTGTATTTTTATTAAACTTGGGCGGGCCATAGCACAGTTTTGCTTGGCTGTAGCTCCGCCAGTGTGTATGAGCAAACTAGTTTATTAAATGTGCCCTTGGGAAATATGATTATCAATTGAATCAAGGTTAGCATTCAAACCATCTTTGCTTCTACCTCACTTTGTGACATCACCAACGATAATACAGCATTCCCACCAGATAATGGTTGAATGTGTGATTTTGTTCTTCCGGTGACCGGCGACAAACTCCTTTCTTCATCCTCGAGTAGAAGTGTGGATGGAAGTTTTTTTTTTTTTTTTGAAAGACATTTTTTGGACAATGAAATGTTGGTGCTTGATCCTCATGTTGCTTCTGCTCTTGGAACATGAGCTCAGTCAAACAAGGTTTTTTTTAAGGACAATAATAAACTAATAAAGTAGCTGTGTGCCACGGGCTAGACCAAATAGTATATTGTTAGGTTTTTTTAGGGAGAGTATATTGTTAGGCTTTTTTTTTTAGACAAGTATATTGTTAGGCTGGACAGCAGCAGCGGGCAACTCCCTGGCAGATGGGCCCTGCTTGGCAGCCAGCCCAAATCCAAGCCGATCGAAGCCAGTGGACTGCAGCAGCCGCAGGAACCACCCACCTCGCCGTCTTCAATCTCGAACGGACCCGGCCCCGGCCCCAGCCGTCAGCCCCTCCTCGCACCAAAACCCTAGGACGGGACGGGACGGGCACGGCCGCGGCTCCACTCCACCCCAGCCTAGCCCACAGTCCACCGCGGAGCCCAAAACCCTAACCCCCCACCCCACCTCCCAACTATTAAAGCCTCCGCCCCAAGAAATCCGGCGCACGCTCGCCCCTCCTATCCCGTCATCTCTTTCCTCCCCACCCCCCCCTCGGCGCAGCA